ATGCCACTAAATTAATTTTAGTACATGTAATAAATATTTATACTTAAAAAGATAACTAAACTTTGAAAAACTAAGTTATCGTGTTAATAATGTGTTATGAAAAGAAAAGAGTATAGAGAGAAGTCAATAGACTTGTGTGTATTTTATTCAGAACCAAAGTCCTTATTTATAGGGCAAAATTAGGAATACAAAGTTTATAATTTTTAGGGATGTAGGGGTACAATTCTCATTCACTTGTAAACCATAATGAACTTATCATTCATAACATATTTGAACTTTTTTAATCTTTTGTAATTTTTGTTTTGGAAACGGAATAAAAGGATTTCGCCCTTCTCCAAAAAAGACTTGAACCTAGTCATCATTCTGGTAAAAGTTTTGCTCCCACATGTTATGCATTAGCATTAAATGGTTATTTGAACATTGAGTAGTTACATAATGTCAAATGGAAGGAGCCAAAATGTCCCAAAATTTTTCTTTAATCATAACAATCAAATAATGACACTAACTTTCATCTAGAAATTTGAATAAAGGAAATTTTCTTAGTTTCATGAAACTTATCCGTTTGATTCGTTGAATCCACGAGATCATGTTAGTGTTAAATGGTAATTTAACATTTCAATATATATATATCATAAAAGGCGAGAGACATGAACACGTCTAATGGTGGTTGGTGACACGAGTATTATGTTAGACGCATGAAACTTCTATTCGACCATCTTTTTTTCTCAAATTCATTTTTAATCACATATTTTTTACGATTTATAATTTTTATGAACTTTTTAAAAAGAAATATCATTAACTTTTATCAAAATTTACTAAAAATCTATTTTTAACAAAAATCAAAGTGTTGAAATTTACCCTGGTTCAAATTGAGCCGAAGTTTTGTGCTATATTTAGGGACATCAAATGGATTGGATTTTAATCCGAATTCGATGAATTAACTAATGGAGATTGATTTAGGGTCTCAAATTGATTATCTAATCAAGATTCCAATTTGAATATGAATTCGATAATCCGTAAATTAAATGGAGCAAATATGGATATAAGTTAATCGAATAGTATAATATATTTTTTATATTATTGCATAATTTGTTTCATATATATATTTTTCATTTTGAAACTTGTATTATATTATATGACTAAAATGCAGAATCTCAAACTTGATATAAATTAATATATCCAATAAAAAAAGAATATGAGTAAAATATTTCGAATCGGATTATGGGATTGAATATCCGATAACATAGCAAATCTGATATAAATTTATCAATCAAATATTTGTTGGATAAATGGATCGAATCTATGAATTAATTTTATTGAATCGAATCAAATATAAATAAATTCGATCAATATCCAATCCATTTAAAGTTCCTCCAAATTAATTTTAATTAAGGGTAATTAGCACAAAAGATCCCTACCTTTTAATGTTATTGTGCAAAACGTCCATATCTTTTTTTCGACATTTTCATCCTTACATTTCATTGTGCAAAATGTCTTTTTTCATCCCTTTTTTCAATAAGATAATGATTTTATCATCCTATTCAAATAAAACAAAAATAAATAAATAAATAAATAACTAATTGTAATCATAGTCCACAAATTTTCAAATCATTACAGATAAGTCCTAAATTCTCCACAACCACCACTTCACAACCCCACGAAACCGCTACCTATAGATCCACATAGCACCACCTTTTAGCTACAACACTTGTCGGACTCCACCACCTCCAGCCTTGGCTCATTCTCCCTAACATTCTCTTCTATAGTATTGGTCACCAATCTGTTCGAAACAATCACATTTACAGCCTAAAATACCAAACTGCCGTATACAACCCTTCATGGCAATCCCACTTTTGACGCCATCTACGGTCACACACCACCACCAACAATTAGCCCTCGTCTTGACGAACTTATACATGGCTCACGTTAATCAAAACTACCTCAAATCATTTTGTTGTAATACTAGAACATTTGGTAGTGTCGACGTCCATTTTGCCAAACTCTTCTCCTTCAATTCATGCATCCCAAAACACCAAATCCCCAAATTGGCATCAATCGAACCATCAATAAACCCAAACGACAATGGGTATGAATCTAATCGAACAAATTATCCCCTCAACCATTTCAATTGGTCCAAAACTCTCTATAGGCACGATGCATGCACGAGAGCTATCTGACCAAAATTGGTGGGGTCCTAAGTGCTCTTTCAAATTTGTATGTGGGAGCACGGTAGGGGAGTGAGGAGAGATTGGTGGTAGTGGAGTCCGATGGGCATAGTGGCCGAAAGGTGGTACTATGTGGATCTATATGTGGCAGCTTGGTAGGTCGGAAAAGTGATAGTGGTGGAGAATTTATGACTTTTTTTGTAATTTTTTAAAAATTTAAGGACTTTAATTGCAGTTGGTAATTTATATATTTTTTTGTTTTATTTGAATACGAGAGTAAAATCACAGTTTTATTAAAAAATGGATGAAAATGACCTTTTGTGCAATGAAAGGTGAAAGCTGAAGGTGAAAATGTCAAAAAATAAAAGATAGGGATATTTTGCACAATAAGATTGTAAGAGTGGGACTTTTTGTGCTAATTGCCATTTTAATTAATTATTTCTTGATTCTACCCCTGCCTAGTGCCGCCCGCACAATCCTCGTGTGCGATGGCACACTGGCACCGCTACTGCTGCTAACGCTTTTGCTGATTGTCTGAAAATTCGCCGAGTTCTCATATCCCTGCAAAAATGGCGACTACTTTATCACTTCATCTTACACGAATCGTCTCCCAATTTTCCGTTCCTTCTTCTCTGCTTCCCCCTCTTTCGTCTGCCAAGCAACGGCCTCAGTTACTGAAGTGTCGCCTGAGACTGCGCTTTCACGGTCGCAGGGGTTTCTTCGTCTCCCGTCAGGAAGCACCACGTCGTCGCTTTAGCATCTCTGCCTCCACCACCTCACAAGGTACAATTTTTATCCTTTTCTTTTCCAGTGGCATTGTCATTCATCAACAGGGAAGCTTATGCCTTTTTCTTTTGTTCTTTTTCCTTTTTAATAACGCGAGGGAATTTGGAATCTTATTTTATGCTTATATATATCCATACAAAGACAGTCCCAAAGTTAGATTTTCGAATTTTGGCTGATAATTAGTAAAACTGAATAAAAGGGACGAATTGTAGCTCTAAAAACTTTAAAAAGTGGGAATGCAAAATTATTTATTTACATTTTTTATATCTATTTTGATTCTTCGAGATAATGAACTGCACCTCTTTTTTGATTCTGAACTTTGTTTCTAGAATTATGCAGAACTAAAATTCAATAGTCAATTGTAATTTTACATTTATGACCCAGAGAGCAAACAAATTTTAATACTCTCACTTTTTCTTACTTTGATCTTATAAAATAAATCGAAAAAAGGAGTAGCGATATTTACATTTTATTGTTCCCAGAAAAAGCGAGAATTAAATCTGTTTTCTCATCTCTGGAGAGCTTCTATAAGCTGAATTTTAAGAACGAATTGTGAAATCCTATTTCTTGATTATAAATACTCTGCAGACTGGGATAAGCACAGTGACGCTTCAAATGAAAGATATGATGTGATTGTTGTCGGAGGGGGGCATGCAGGCTGTGAAGCTGCCCTTTCATCTGCTCGTATAGGGGCAAAAACACTTCTTCTCACGCTCAATATTGACCGCATTGCATGGCAGGTAAATTGATGAAGATTTAGGTCTTTTTGTTATTATACTTTTTAGTTGTGAAGATTATCATTTCTTTGCTTAAATGTGTTTTTGGTTTATGTTATCAAAGGGTTTTACAACATTGTCTGACATGATAATTTCGGTGGATAATCATTTGAGAAGAGAAGCTGGGATTTCTTTGACATATCTATTTAAATCGCAACTTTTGGATCTTTATCTCCACGAATATAGTTTTCAGTAAGAGGACCTTCATTCAGTCTCATCTGGACCTCATGCCAAGTCATTATATTATACGTATTGTCCGCTTTGGGAGGACGTATGATATAATGGTTTGGGTACGAGGCTCAGGTTGTTACAAAACAAAAAAGCCCATTTTTTGTAACGACTCGAGTCTCGTGCCCAAACCGTTATATCATACGTACTCTCCGCTTTAGGAGAGTCTTACCTATCTTATTCCTCACGAATTTTAATTGTGTCTTTAGGATTCAAACATATGACCTCTACTTTATAAGAGATATAAGTTGAATCCTGATACGAATTGACGCTTTTTTGTGATGACCCAGGCCTCCCAACTGTTATATCATACATACTGTTTGCTTTGGGAAGACGTCCGACCTTCTTCCCTCTTTTTCAACTTAAGTTTTTTGTAAAATTTGATACAAGGATTTAACTTAAGTATTTCATAAAGCAGAGGTCTTTGATTCGAATCTTGGGAGATGATATGGAAATTCGTGAGGAGTAAGATGGCTAGATGCCCTCCAAAGTTGACAATACCTATGATATAACAACTTGGGCATGAGGTTCAGGTCTTTACACACAATGAAGTTAAACTCTCATCGCCCATGATTGAGACAGAGAAACAAACTTTTTACTGCAAGTGAACCATGTATGCTTGCTTTGTGATTTTCTCCTAATTTTAGTTTGTAAAGAATACCAGTGGTGAAGAATTCAAAGGGTGCATAGAGGTGGGGAGGGTGGTGGTGGTGAAGAGAGATGGGGATGGTACCCACCATCTTTGGTGCCTGGATTGAAAGTCATTGTGGCTTCTGGTGGGTAAGGCAGCAATCCTGGAGATATAGTCCAAAATTGGAGACCAAATATCTTTGGTCTGCATAATTTAGAGCTCAAGAATTTGTTGATATTCACACGATTTATTTCATACACATGTGTAAGACCTTTCCTAGATTCCATTCCAGGCCAAAGCTTCAAAGCTTAGTTTCTAGATACTGCTTAAAACCACTCAAAGCTAAGATCAGCTGCTATTGGACTTCTTTCCTTGACGAAAGGGGATCGTATCTCACCTGGCAGTGCAATCTTCGATAACAGTTAGCAAGGAAAGCAGCCTTGTTGATTAAAGTAAAGGACCAGGGTTCTTGCGCTATAGTTTTGTGGAATAAAAAAGGAAATATAATATACCAATTAAATGAACGTGAAGTAAAATCAAGATATAAGATAAAAAGCAAGTTGAAGTTGTTATATTGTTACTTCAGTTTAGAGTTAGTTATCAGGCTCTGAAGTGTGAATCATCTAAGGTCCAAAGGACCGAGCCAGAACCAACTGAAGTTCTAAAATTTCTTTTCTTCTTTTCAAATGGATTGCATCAAAATCAGTTACTGAGTTCCTTGTCATGATAGATTACTTTTAAAATATGCTTGAAATTTTGCTTAGAGTTTCTGCTAAGTGGAGTTAAATGCAGCCTTGCAATCCGGCAGTGGGTGGGCCTGCAAAGTCTCAACTCGTCCATGAAGTGGATGCGCTTGGTGGTGAAATTGGAAAGGTAGCTGATAGGTAATCTCAACTGAGACCTGGTATATATGCTAGCTGTAATTTGCTGACATTGATGTCAGAACTAAGTGGGATATGAGTGCTAAGTTGACTATATTTTCTACTGGCCTCCTTAGTTTTGACCATGCTTTTGCATTCTTGGACACTTCAAGGATCACTGTACAGATGTTCATCTTAACATTTATCATTCTCTTAACATTTATGATGTGTTCGGCACTCCTATAACCATGTAAATGTTGAGTTTCCTTTTGAACAATTCTTATTGTTTTATAGATTTGTTTTACTATCACGACTGAACTCGCTTTTAATTTGCTTGACGATGCCAATGTGATTCAGATTTGTGAAGATTATTTTCTGAAGCACGATTTAGACATTGAATGATGAAAAAAATATCTCATCTGTGTGCATAAATTGTGCTTAGTTCATATGATATGTCATTTATGTACTGTTTCAATGATTGTTACGACGATGGATCACATTTAGTTATCACTTCAATTTGTACAAGGGATACCTGATAATCTATGACCCTAAGCCCCTGTTTGGTGTAAATTAAATAGTTGATAAAAATCTAATTTAAAATCAACAATTAATTTTGACCATATCAAAATCTATTAATAATCTGATTTTTATCTACACCAAGCATGGGCTAAATGTCCTACATGTTTACCATAATAGTAAATGGGAAGAGTGTTGTTTATCTCTTAACACACAAACATGCGCAAACATACACACATTGGGATATATTTGTTTCTGTATCTATATAGTCGATGTATGCATGCATATTTATGTACTTATGTTTATTTACATATCTGTATATGGTTTTTAAGTTTTCTACTTCATGCGTCCACTGAGATTGGGCATTTAAATTTTACCGGGTGAATAGAAAGAACAGAATACAATATTTTTATGCTTGACTAGATATTCGAATAGACTAGCATAATATATTTCTCTACTGTTCTTTCTGTATAACATGGTGATTTGGCACTGAAGTCAGGAACTGAATTCATCTGGCTTTTGAGAACATACTCCATATGCTATGGGAAGCCATGGCCTACCTGCAGAAGATCCACTTTTTTGACTGTGACAATCATCTGGCACTAAACATTTTCGCTTACTATCTTATAAGATAACATATATTAAGGGAAATTGTTTTATTTTTTCCAATATGCTAGACCATTTTTTATTTGATCGTATTTGGGCATTGGTTCTAATTTATTGACCTATTGATGGTTAAGAAAATGTCTTTTGTATTTTGTATTTTTATTTTTTGTTTTCGGCACAGGACTGGCCATAATATGTTCAGACTTCAGGTGTTATTTGCAAAAGCGCGTCCTCAATATCTCAAGAGGCCCTGCTGTTAGGGCACTGCGTGCTCAAACTGATAAAAGGGAGTATGCTTCGGAAATGAAGAAGATTTTGGAAAGGCAAGTTTACTGTGGATCCTGTAGAAATATTTGTTTCCACATTTGAGTTTTGTGGTTCTACACTTCAGCATGATGTGTCTGCAAATGTTATCTAGATGTATATTGTAATGAACACTAGTTTGCTCCTAAAATGATTTTTCTGTCTTTAAATTTCTAACTTCCATTTAGAAAGGTCTCTGACTTATGAAACTCCGTATTCCTGCTGGTGCCACTATTCTCATTTTGATGTTTAAAGGATGTAGACAACAATGAAGTAAAATATGTTGGGTCGTTTAGGAGTTACAGATATCCTCTATATAGTTGTCTTTAGTTTCTCATTTCGTGAAGTTATATATGCATTTGAAGCTTTTTTTGTCAGATAAGTTTGAGTTTCCAACTTTAACTTGTTAAGATTTCTAGCCTTTCTTTCTTTCTTTCTTTCTTTTTTTTTTTTTTTGGCTCTGATGTTCTTTCTTAATGCGTAACGCATCTACTACCTGCTTCTTTCCAGATTTGTAAAAGAGCACGAAAATATTCAAATGTCGAACCTTTAATTTAGATTCTGGGCCATAATTTTATTCAGGTGCACCTTCAGGCTTCATTATTTCTGCATCATCTTATAATGGCTAGTCAATATTGGTTGTCCTTTATGGATGATATATGTTACAGGCCATTAGGATGAATAAAATCTGTAACTATAGCATTATTCAATTTTTTATTTTTTTGGCCGCAGTCCAAATGCTAAAAAGCAAATGTTTCGCTTAATTACGATCCATAGACAAACATATTTGTTTGACACCTAACTTTCATGGAATAAGTTGAAAATTCCTTCTCCAGTCTCTCTAACTCTAAGCGGAACATTGTAACTTTTACATGTCTGTTGATGTTTAGAGATTAATTGGATTGCAATAGTATTGGTGATTGTTAACCTGGCAAACTAGTGTTTGTGTTGGAGGTAAATCAGTTGGCTTAAGATAAAGTAATCAACTTGTACACTTCATTTGGTGTTATTGTGAGGTTTAAGAAAAATGAGTACATGCCAAAGGTTTCCTTTTTTCATTTGGTTCACTAATGGCATGTCAGGACAAGAGACAGAATAAGATTCTGTGAAGATATTTGCAGAGGCTATTGCTCCTTTAGTTTTACAAAGTCTTGGCCTTGAAAAACATTCCCACTTACTTTGTTTGATTTCTCAAAATAACTCTATGGCCTAGAATTTTCAATTTCGTTGAGATTTTAGGGATACGATATTGGATTCATCTTCGTTGCTATCCATTCTTGAGAGTTGTCTCTAAAGCCTCATGTATTTTGATAGAAGATTGTGGGAGTTGGATCCCTGGAGTACTCTCTTGCAATTACTATTCCTAAACTGTAGTTGAGTTTCCGAGTTATCTATTATTGGAACCTTTTGATTTCATTTTGAAATCTTGCTAAAGTTTTAAGAGAGAGTCTTCATACCCCTTTCTCGTTTTATGTGTAAGAGGAAAACTTAAACTATTATCACTTATTCTTACACTGTGACGTCATTAGATTTCTGTGGTACAGCTTGTAATTAGAAGCTGGTTTTGAATTGAGTATTCCCGAAAGTTACGGCATACTAATTATGGAAAAATAGTTTTTCTCGAGATGGTGATTCTTGTAGGAACATGTGGTTTTAGCCGTATATTGGGTTGTTCGAACATGAATTCAAAAATTATAGGAATAGTATAGCTGCTTGGGGATTTATGGGACAGAGCGAATTTTCTTTCTTCTTTATGGACTTCTACATCTAGGGAGTTTAAGGATTTTACTTTTTTTTTATTCATTCACGGTTAGAAGAATCTATTTATCTATATTATTAATAAAACTTTGCTTCTTATTAAAATGGATAAATAGATAACCACAGATTTGAATTGCTGAAGGAGCATTGGATACTTCCACTTCTACTGAATCTTTTGGGCTCAGTTAGTTCTGAATTGGTGCAAGGATCAAATTCCAGACTATTTTACATGACTTTCTTTGTGGTGCAAATATTATGAAATGACTAATTATATATACTTGTATAAGAACTTGCGATGCAAAATTATACAGTCATTTTATACCACCATTTTGGCTGAGATGCTTCTTGCAGTCATTACCTTGAATTTTCTTTTAAAAAATGACTACCATTTTCTAACCAGCAGTCCCTTTTTCAGTACGCCAAACCTGTCTATAAGGGAAGCAATGGTGACAGACATGTTGGTAGGGAAGAATGACAATGTGGAAGGTGTCTGTACATTTTTTGGCATGAATTTCTACGCACCTTCTGTAGTTCTTACTACCGGTACTTTCATGAGCGGGAAAATTTGGGTTGGCAAAACTTCAATGCCTGCAGGACGAGCTGGTGAATCAGCTTCACATGGTCTAACAGAATACTTGCAGCAGCTTGGATTTGAAACTGACCGGCTAAAAACTGGAACCCCTGCGCGTGTTGATTGTCGTACAGTAGATTTCTCAGGATTGGAGCCTCAACACGGAGATGAAGAGGTCATGCCGTTCAATTCAATACGTAGTTTAAGTAGCAGTTACATGAACATAACCTTTCTGCTTCTGCTAGTTTTTCTTAAACAGAGAAATAAAAGATTTCATTAAAATAATATTACTATGGTTTGAGAGAGAGTAAACCAAAATTAAATTTAGAAATATTAGCCAATCAGTCCTATCCTGTGGCCCTGGAATAATTTTATAATGCGAAATTATTATGTTTACTCAGTGTCCTGTTTCTGAATGCGAGGCACAATAGAGAACACACAATAAAATAAAATAAAATAAAATAAAAAAATTGCTCAAAGACCCAAGTTACTTTCATGTTGCTGAACATTGCTAAGCCAGTGGCATGCATATTGAATAATGAGTAGTCAGGCAGCCTGGTTCCACACTTTGACATTGTATGAGGCTTTTCATAACCCTAGATATGGCTTTTTATGATCTTTTCTGCTTCTGCTGGTCTTATTTTAATCAAAACTTGTGGGAAACGGATCCTTTTATACTAATGGTATTAATTGTCTCATTGATGAACAGGTTAACTGGTTCAGTTATGATCCTGATTACCATCTTGAACGAGAACAGATGTGCTGCTATCTTACACGCACTACAAAGAGCACTCATCAATTAATTAAAGATAACTTGCATGAGACCCCCACTTATGGAGGATGGGTGGAAGCCAAGGGACCTCGATACTGCCCCTCCATTGAAGACAAGGTATGGTTTTGTATACCTCTCTATATATGTCAATCTACCAGTCCATCTATCTATCTATCCGACTATCTGTCTGTCTGTACGTACCATGAATTTGCGTCCTCATCTAATTTTCATCCGTGTTCCAAATTTTCTTCTTGCTTTTTCCTGATACAGTTAACATTTTGTGCTATCTAGATTGTAAGATTTCAGGATAAAGAGTCGCATCAAATATTTCTTGAACCAGAGGGTCGGAGTGTCCCTGAACTCTACGTGCAGGTTTCTGAAGCCTTACCTTTTGGTCTCTATTGCAATTTCTTTGATTTGCATGGCACTACAGGTGGATATGTTTCTAATGGAGAACTATGTAAACTTTTCTCAGTTGATCTAAGCCTTCGATAGCTCACATATATTTTTCTTTCTTTTACTGTTCTCTGATAATTTATCTATGTTTTAATTTTTTTTTGAAAGAACTTCTTTAGAAATTTATAGCTCATAATATCTTGAATTTGCTAATATGGAAACTAATAAGCTTCATATCCAAATAAAAGTGCACTAAATATCAGAACCGATAATCTGACTAAAGTGTTTGCTTATTTAAAAGTAACACATTGAGGGCCTTTCCTGTTTCATATAATGTGAGTATTATATTGTGTAATGGGGTTGAAGTTGGAAGCTGTTATTAGTCTAGACATGAGTTGGTTAAGGTAAAAGTACAGGTGAATGTAAAAATGTATATTGTTATCCAAAGCTCTCTTGAGTATCTGCAAAATTGCAATCTTTTACATGGCGGGGATTCCAAATCTAGTATGTGAATGATGTTTGTGCTATTATTTTGAAAATGTTTGGTCGCACTGCCAGGGGAAATATGAATTTGACATTTGTATTATTAACATATCTGTGACTGTTAAACCATCATCATCTGCTTATCCTGTAGGGGTTCTCTACTGGTTTACCAGAGAGACTACAACTGCCACTCTTGAGAACGTTACCTGGTCTTGAAAATTGTTCAATGTTGAGGCCTGCTTATGCTGTAGAGTATGACTACTTTCCAGCACACCAGTGTTTTCCGTCCCTCATGACTAAGAAAATTGAAGGACTATTTTTCTCTGGTCAAATAAATGGAACAACTGGATATGAAGAAGCTGCTGCACAGGTGTTCATATTTTGAGAAAATTAGCAAGTTGAGATTCATAATTTTTATGGAGGATACCGTAATGGTTTGTTCTCTGCCAGGGATAATCCTTTCCAATATTTTCTTTTTTGACAGGGAATTGTTTCTGGTATTAATGCTGCCAGGCATTCGGCTGGTAAATCCGTGATAGTTCTTGAGAGGGAAACCAGTTATATAGGGACTTTGATTGATGATCTGGTGACAAAGGACCTTAGAGAGCCTTATCGCATGTTAACCAGGTAAGTACAATTTAAGTACTCATGTTTATATCCGTGGACTGGTATGGGACACGTGTATTAGCTTATGTGAATCCTTGATGCACAAAACCCTTCTAAATTCATACTAGCTACTTTGATTTATTCATTCTTACTTTTGACTATAAAAGGGATTGTCCATTGTTTATCTTTAAAAGAATGTGCCTTTTAGTTACTTAAAATATATTATCTTTCAGCCACTCAGAACACCGTTTGTTTCTTCGTTCTGATAATGCTGACAACCGCCTCACACCTCTGGGACGTGATATTGGTTTAATAGATGATAGGCGCTGGAAAATCTACTTGGACAAGAAGGCACGGATTTTAGAAGAGAAACAGAGAATTAAGACAACCAGGATTTCAGGTTGATCATTTCCTTTTTGTTTGAAAGAACTGATCTATAGTTTTCGATGTCATCTTCCGCAAGATATACCGATGATGTTTTGTATGTTAAATCAGAAGTGGTAGGAATTATTAAAGTATGTGGATCGGAAAATCTTGGATGCTCAATATCCACATAGAAATTGTTGCCTTCTTATGATAGTTGATATCATTTTAATGAGTTGTGCGTGTCTGCCACAGGAACTAGAAATCTTGGTACACTTGTTGAAAATTATGTCATCAATAATCACTAAAAATCCACAAACAGCTAATCACCTAAAATTAGTTATGTTTGAGTAAATAGAAAAAAAGGGAAAAGAGAACTAAAGAACATCTGGTTACGAAATCGCTTAGATACCGGATCCTCCACTTTTGTAACCAGACTCCCTTCTTTCGTTCCCATCCAACCTCTCCCAAATGTGTCATGCACAGCGTTCTAGGTGAAACAATATAGGTGAATCTGGTAAAACTTGGAAAGCCTTCTTAAGCTATCTTAACATAGTCTCTCCTTTTGTCTGCTTTCAGGTGGAGATTTAACTGCTGAAATCACTGAGGTGTCTGGTCAGCCAGTGAGGGATTCATCAACATTAGAAAGCCTTCTTAAGAAGCCACATGTGCAATACAAAATTCTTGATAAGCATGGATTTGGGAATAATCTACTATCTAGGATGGACAAAGAATGTGTAGAGATTGACATCAAGTATGAAGGCTTCATTGTACGGCAGCAAAACCAACTTCAGCAGGTAAATAATTGAAGCATCATGACGTATAGTTAAATTTAGGGCATGTTTGATTTCAGCGCCAGATTGGACTACACAGTAAAGAGATTCTTTAACTTTTTCCCCCCTTTGCACTGTCTAGTTTTGTCTAATACTGTTTCCCAAACACGGCCTTAAGAGTCAGACAGTAAGCGTGCTTCTGAAAATGTTTTTGTACATTGAGCGAGTTCTAAACATCAACATACCACTCTGTGTTTTATATGCAAAATGGGCCAAATAACTCCCATTGCATCCGCGTCAATCTACCATCGTTTTGTCACATTCATAAAATTTAACTGCTTGAATTATTGGCTTAAGAGTCAATAATTCAAGCAGTTACACTAGGAGTCAAGACGGATATTAAGCTCTTGTTTGAAACTGATTTTTTCAAAATCACTTTTTCTCCACTCATTTTCAATCACACATTCTCCAAAAACAATCATTTTTTGCATTTCTCCATAACCTTTCCCTACTTGTTAACCACAAATTCTCCCAATAATTAACTATTAACAAATTCAAGTTCACACAGAAGGGCTAATATTCCATGGATCTTAGTTATACTATCTTGTGGTGTGGTGGATGATAGGCTTAATCTTATGTCTTTATCCTGTTTCTGTCTGTAGATGGTTAATCAACAACACAGACGACTTCCAGATGATCTTGATTACTATGCAACGACGACATTGTCACATGAAGCACGTGAGAAACTGTCCAAGGTATCTCGCATCATTATTATCAGCGGTGCCATTTTTGTTTCCCATAATTATGCTATGGCGTATGCCATGATTGGAAAATGTCCGTCATGATTTATTACTTCAGAATTATTAGCAGAACCAGGATCATTTTTCTGATACAAATCATTTTATTGCCTACAATCAAGCACAAATGTAGTCAAGATTTGGTCGCAGTTGCAAAAATGCTTGTGTAGTGTAAGATATTTGATTTCTGAAATGCTGATGTATGCTCCAGGTCAGGCCACGAACGATAGGACAAGCAAGTAGAGTAGGTGGTGTTAGCCCCGCTGATGTTACAGCATTACTTATCATCCTGGAATCGAACAGGAGGAAAGCCCATGAAGAAAGAAAGCACCAAATGCTAACCTCGATCATAGCAGATGCCAGTCAAGAAGTGTCTGAAAGTCCTCTTAAAGAGACGATTAGCCCTTAAAATATGCAACAGAAGATCAAAATTTCCCGTGTACAGCATCTGCTCCAATGAAGAATTTTAAAAAAATTAATCAACATTTTGGACACACATATATGTGGCGGTGTCATAGAAGATAACTTTGATCGTATTTCGTGTCACAAATAACTTCGGATTGTACTTTCTTTTACTAGTGCCCACAAAATCAAAATACTAATGTGTTAAACATGTCATGTACAGTACTGCAACCCAGTAGGACCAATTTTGCACCATTCATCCACTCTACTTGCACCCTTTCTAAAATAACTCGAGAAAGAGTAATATTAGAAGGGTAAAGTTTGGTAATCAAGTTACTTTATGCATTTAATGTAATAGTTCTTTCTTAATTATGTTACTTGAAATATTGGCACTATCAACGCCCCGTTTGGCTCTCATTATTCCACATTATAATGAGAGGATTAGTAATTTTTTAGAGAATGTTGCGGTGGGCTGGAGCTTTTTCGTGAACCAATGGGTTCAGTTGTGTTGGGTAATGAGTCAAAGGCTTTGGAGTAAATAATGAAAAGTTTTTGAGTTTATGTGTAATGTTATTTAATTGAAGAATATGTGGTTGATAATAAGAGAGAAGAGTTATAATTTGATTGGGAGTATTGGGGTCAAACGAGGGCCCAATATTGCCTTCAGCTTCGGCCTATTTCGTCATAATTTTCATGTTCATCTGTTCATTTATTTTTATATGTACCTTCCTGTCCAATCCTATCGTTGTGGTAATTGGAAATGTTACGCACGCTCTTATTCTCCTTTTATCTATGTTTTACTAAAAACTGTATGTGGTTAGGTGGGGTACTTAGATCCCAACATATGCCTTGATAGAACTTTGGCAATACCCCCTCCCTTCTTATATATACCGAAAGAATTGAAATAAAATTGAATGCGGCATGGCCACCTTACCTCTAGTGAATAGGTGGGGAAATGAGGGGGAGTTGAACAACAATATGCATGGGAGGCATGCCTTTACTATGTATTAATTGAAGGGAAATGATGTCTAATGGAAGGACACACTGAAAGTTGAAACAATCAGTGAATAGCAAAAGGTTAAAGTTTTGTTCATGGGTACATTTGAGTACTTGCAAGGTTAAAGCACTTTAGAAGAGGTTAAAGTTTCTGCAGTGAGATCATTGTTTGAAAATCTGCAACTAAAAATTAATCAGAATGATGGAATTGCTGACTCGCATTCTAGACCTGGCTGGTTTTAGTTTGCATACCTAAATCTTGCTTCTTTGAAGAAACATGACAACATTCTAGACGTTTTTGCTGAGAACGAAGGATCCAAGGTCACCACGTCTTCATTCATGACATAATCCAATAAAATTTAGATACAAGTGTGATACCACAACACAATCTTGAATGGTATATACATCCTAAAAGTTATTGGGAACATGTGATGTCACTCAAGCCATTTCGCAAAGGACTATAAAGCAATGTCATGTTAATAATAGATATTTGGGAAAATTTTATACGTGTTGTACATTACTTATTGGTGGCTTACAATAGGCATAGGGCGTAACCGTGTGGACCCTGCTTGGTGTACAGGAAAAGGGCTACAAGGGTCAATACAGGGTGGATGTGGCATCATTCTATTGGACATGGACAAAATAATAATAATAATAATAATCAACTGCACCCTGTAGGGGAATAATCCATGGTGGTAATTCTTTGGAAATTGGAACAAGGACTGTGTACATCTAGAACAATTTGACTTGGCTTTGTTGAGAGCTAGTGTGTAAGTGGTTCTTCTCATATTGGTGGCAACATGTGGTTGATCACTGCTTTAGTATTAGTTGAACTTTTTATATTCATCCATCTTTGACCTTTGTTCTATGAAGTATGGGAAATCTAGAGATGACAGATATCAGAGAAATCTAGAGTCTCAATGTATATGTTGTGATTGTCAGGACGGTTGATTTGCAGAAATTCCGAGTATAAATTTGTCAGTGTTAGTGATAACCATGCCAATAGAGTGTACTTGTATATAGTAAGTTTTGGGTCACATATATTATTGGTTTGCAATATAATGCAATTTGCAACAAATTGTGTGTATGATTTATAGGTGCGAGTGTAAATTCTAGGGACCCTACCAGTTTTATAATTGGCACTGGCAAACCTTCTTTGACATCATATATTTTTAGCTGGTTGTAGTTTTTCTATTTTATAACTACACGGTAAGTTAGCTTTTTTCAGAACATTATAAAAGAAATCTCAGTTATTTTTTTTTATTTTTTATTTTAAAACTTCTTTGAATGGTTGGCTTTATTATTTCTGATCACAACTTTTGAATCTCCTTTTGTACATAACAGCGTTCTCTCTGTTATTGAGAAGTAATTTGTGTAAATGTGTAATTAGTATGATATCTTTGCCTAATTACTATAATCTTGTTTTTTATTCTCCTCCTCCTATAACCCATCAATTTGAATATTCATCATTACTATTCTCTTTTTCTTAGGGTCCGTTTGATTGCAAGAATGAAATTTGAATGGAAATAAAACGAATTTCAGAGAATTGAATTGTCTAAAACTTGTTTTCTTGAGAATATCAATTAAATGTGTTTTATTGGTATAATTTTCCATCTGAAAAATATTGAAAATTTGGATCTTTTGGTGTCAATTAAAGGGAAAAAAGTTGTTACAATTTTGGATAGAATTTGTTTCCATTGTAAAAAAATAAAAAAAGAAAAAAAAAAGAAAAAAAAAGAAAAAAAGGAAAAGATGGCTGGAACCAAGGAAATTGTTCACGTGTGGGGAGAAGAGGGAAAAGGAATTGCTTAGAAAATGTTGCAATCAAACAAGCCATTTTTTGTGGAAAATAGAAAATACCATTTTCCATGGAAAATGTGGCAAATGAATCAGGCCCTTAGTTCTTTTAATCTTTGCCCATGCTTTCATTATGGCATACTATCCATATGGAAATATGTTTATACTCTTCTATCTGATGGTTTTACAGAATGTATATAAGTCTAATGATATTTCAAGCCTCGTTCGAGGAAGCTTATCGAGACTGTATGTGCTCGATTTAAAATTCTGAAAGAGATGAGCTCAAGTTTTATGTTAACCTCAATATTATTCTAGTTGATTTCAAGTTTTAGGATCAACAGTATCACACCAACCAATAGATCTCCTTCCATTAAAGGTTTAATATTCGCGTTTTGACAGAGGTGAAACAATAAATAGCTGATTAGTATTGGGCCATCTAATGAATGCAGGTACATGCATAGATAGAAAGAAAAACCACAACAAACAAAAGTGCAATGATATAACATTTGGTTTTCCACAGGTTAGAAGGTTGCCCATTCGGGATGGCATTTGGATAGCTCGCGATGGCAGTGAATATGTTCTTGACTTCATTGTTGAGAGGAAGAAGGTTGATGATTTGCGCCTCTCTATCAGGGACAATCGATATAGAGATCAGAAACTACTAGTCTTGGTATTGTTTCTTTATTTATGTTTAATCACCGGAATAGAGCTATTGCTGGTTCTAAACGAACAGTGAATTTCTTAAAAGAGCATACGTGTTTCTCAAGTTCTGCTATAAGTGAAGATTTGCACATCAATTGTGTTTTAAAATCTGAAATAGTTCTGGTGCAACTCCATGCCTTTTTTAGTGAAAGCATGGTCTCTTGTCCTTCGGTGATCCTGCAAAAAGAGATTGGGGCTCCCTCCCCCGTTTTACTTTCGGCGTGAGAATCGGTAATCGTTTTTAGATAAAGGATTTTAAAGAATTCCAATAGTAACAGAGGAAAGTATTTTTTCTGAAAAAAGAAAGAACCCTTTTACTTGACATACCAATGGGATATTTATAGGCATCTGGCATCATGTAACCGTTGGACAGTTGCCATCCACGTGTCCCCATCAATCTATCATCACTTAAACGTCGAGCAGTTGTCATCCACGTGTCTTCATGAGACTTGCCCGCTCCTCAAACGATTTTTTCCATATATTCGGTTATCCGGATAATGGGTTTAATGATAACCGTTCAGATGGTTGTTGACTGATTCCAATGTTGTTTGTGTAGAAGGCGGTCACTCTGCACGTGTGCGGGAGTCGGACTAGCATAGCAATTAGCACTCTAATATGAAAAGTGTCACCTAACATGTCAAAGCTGTCTGTACCTTATGAGCAAGTGAAGGTAGCGTCGGTCGAGCTGACACTAAGGTAGTCGCCATATCATGATAGGTGCTACCCGACATAGAGGGGTTCACTCGACATAGCGGGGGACATCCTCTCTCTACCAATCGTCCCAATTAATTATTTGAACCACATGATATCAAAATCTAACCCCAGATGATTGTCCTTGGAACAATATCTAACAAATATCTTATGGTTGATATTTTTTCCTTGATTTTTGTAAATATTAGTTTAGGCATTCTAGTATTTTAGCTTTTTTTGTAGTTGATCCCATGAATCATCTGTATGTTTTCAAATAAATATTTAAGCAATAATAACAGTCTTATTCCTGATATATCTGGGATTGGATATATATGTCCATTGCCACTGCATTTTGTTCGTTTCCAGGTCTAGAGCAACTAGGCCAAGTTAATTTTGGTCTACCGCTCCATGTTCTAACTTGCTCCACTGAAATTGTGTCCCTATTATGAAATATTTTAAGTAAAGATGAAAAACCATTGCTTCTTTTCGGCTGTGCAATGTATCAGAAGTTTAAAGTTGCCAACAACCTGCTTTACTGAGAACATGTATTTTGCAAATCCCTTTCTATGACCATATGATTGCACACAAGATCAGCACAAACTGGCTATGTAGAGTCAGCTTCAACAAGGAAGAAACAGGACAAGAGTAGCATATTCATACATGTATTTATGAACTCATTTTTTCTGTGTATTTGGCATGTGATACTCAAGCACCTAACCCTAGCTTTAAATTCATTGTCAATTCCTGAGTTAAAAATTTGAGAGGAGAGTGTTAAGTAGAAAAACCTAGGAAATAGAAAAAGGTGTATGGTATAATATTTGAAATGTACATGCAAGTGTCAAAGAATGATACCGAATGTTTTACGAAAAATCAAAAAGAAAAAGAGAAATAACAAGCCAACACGAGCAGACTTTCAAGAGAGATGAGTGGTTAAGGATGTCCATGAGTGTGTGAAGGTGGTTTTGGTGGTTGTTACTAGTATTAGTCATTTTATTTGAAATGTGATAATTATTTGGAGTGGTACAATTCAAGTGCCAGGCTATTGTTCCTTAGTTTATTTCTAATTTTAAAACAAAGTGTCACGATTTTTCTTTCTCCAAAACTTTTTACCTTCCTTGGGCCTATCATGGAGAGGCCAATTTCGGTTTGATAACTACCCTCAAAATTTTAGGAGGTTTATTTTGGATTTGCATAGTGATAAAATCATTTCCGAATTGGCTTCTTTGTTTGGTTTCCCTGTGTCTTTTCCATGGATGAACGGCATACATAT